TCATCCACATGGTTAGTAGTTTATGAGTGTGCCGCACAAAATAAATCATTTGTGTAATGTTGATTATATCTATCCATCTTGTGTGCTACTACAATCGCGTGTTTTGTAGGGGCTCTTCATGATATCATAAAATCGTTATAGACTGGCATGAAAGTTGAATACTCATGGGATTAAAGTTGTGTGTAACCCACACTAGTTTGACATATTCTTTCTAAAAGCGTAACTAGCCATGGGAATTTGGTGATAACTGAAAAACCGAACAGAACCGAGATTTTTGGTTAGCTGTAAACCGATCGACGATTTTATAAATACACATCGATTCTATGTTTGGTTCGGTTTGTCATCAGCTAACCAAACGGTTTTTTTAGTTCTCTTCGTACCATCATCTGTCAAAGCAACTTCATGAATTTAGGCCAAAGAAACGAGGATGGGTTGGACACATTAAAGATCCGCTATGGATAAAGCTCGAAGAAAGACGATTGACTAAAGAAAAACGATAGTAAATGCGTTTAATATAATTTGTGCTACTTTGGACTTATTTAATGAGAAATATGTTTAATATGGGCAAAACTGTATGGACTCACTCAAAAATTGTTACAATCCACTATTTACTCTTTTTTTTTTTTCTTTTCGGCATTCATTATTTATTCTATATATTAGAAAAAATCTCTACATCTAATTTGTTTTTCTTTCATTCTCGTCCGCTTTTTCTTCGGTCTCTCTAATACCCTAGCGAAATCTTATGCTTCTCTTCTACTGCTTATATGCTTCATATCTCTCATTTTCTCCTCTAAATCCTCACAATGAGTAATGACAAGGAAAACTTCAACATCGCCGATCCTACTACAGGTAAATTTTACTTTTTTTTTTCCTATTGCTACGCTTTTTAAGAAAATTTGTTTAAACTTTAATATATACTGGTATTAGAACTTTATGAATGTAGTTCTCTGAGGCTGGTTGGTAACAAGTCTTGTCGGGCATGAGATCGAACAGCCGTAGGTCACCGTCACCATCTCATTCTAATGGGTAGCCTCACACTTTGCTGAGAACACTAATTTGTAATGGATTTGGGCTTGGTATTTGGTAGTTGTAAATTTAATAATGGGTGTGTAGTTTATATTTATGGACTTGATATTTGAGTGGTAAATTTATTAATTGGTTTCTAAAAAAATTCATGGGCTTGTAATTTATTTTCGGTTGACCAAAAAAAAAATAAAAAATCGGTTCACTTTGGAACTAATTTTATAGACTATAACCGAATCAAATAAACCGAGTCCTAAACCGAACAAAATTATTATTTGGTTCAATTGGGCATGATTTGGACAAGACCCAAAAAACAAAAACAAAAAACTAACCATTTCCCTAAACAAGCCGAATGTCCATAGCTAAGCATAACTATATATATGTTATTATATAAAGTATGGTTTTCAATGTTAGTAACTCATAGGATCGTGACACGTGACAAATCTATCGATCTTAGATTTTGACACATGTAAAACAAAAATTTTCTTTTCAAAATTAAAAAAAGATCATTGTAAGTAATTATAAATTTAAATAATTTTAAAAATGTAAAAAATAATTATAAGAATAATTTTAAACATTTAATATTTCTATAAACAATTTAAAAAATGTCAAAAGATAATAATAATAAGTAAATTATACGTTTTTTATAATTAAAAATATATATTTCAATTAAACAAAAAAAAATCAAGCAAATTTATTAAAATAGAAACATATGTTATCATATAACTAATATGATATATTTTTGTTTCTCAAAGTTAGTAATTAATAGTATCAGGAACCGTCAAAGATTTTATCATGTGTCATGATAATTTAAAATTTAATATTATTTATCTCAATTTCCTTTCCAGTTAGAAATATGTGATGATTTAATTAAGCTAATCCTTATATTATTTATTTGAGTTTTTTTTGCAATTAGAAATATGAGAGATCAATTTGTTTTTCTCTTTTGTAATATTTTTTTACTTAACTGTATTTTTTGTTTGTCCTCAATTATGATTGTAGTATTGTTAGATTGTTTATTTTAATTTCTCTTTTCATATTTAAATTATTAAAGATTCATATCTCATCGTGTTTATAATTTATTATTTTGAGTTTAACTGTTGTATCTTTAAATTATTTATTTTGATTTCTACGTTAAATTTAAATGATATAAGATTTTTAATATATCATAGTTCTAATGACTTTAGATAGCGACATGTGCCATGATTTAAATTACAAATTTACATTATTTATATCAATTTTATTTTTTAATTAGAAATATGTAATGATTTTAAGTAAATTTTTATATTGTTTATTTGAAATTCTTGAATATGTAAGAACCTTATATGCTTCTTCTTTGTTTTTGATATTTTGAATTTAATTATACTATTTTTAAAAATTTATTTAAATTTCTATGTTCATATTTGAATTAGATAAGATTCATATATCATCGTACTTATAATTTGTTTGGATTTATCAATTTTTATTTATTTATCATAAAGTAATTGCAATAAAGTATATAGAAATCGAACCCGCAACGTTAGCTTGGAAGGCTAAAGAATTTAGTCGATTTAACATCTTTATATTTTTAACGTGTCTAATTAAATACTACTTTGGTTTCACTCGCTAACTTTATAATGAATATTTTTAATTTTAGTTCTTCATATAAGTATACTATGAGTTATTGCTATGTGATATATCTTTCATTCGAAATAATTTGAAATTAATAATTTTAGTGGTTAAAGATACAATGCAACGGTGAAAAAGTAAATATTTTTTTTTACTTTTGAAAGAAATTTTTTACTTAAGACGTTGTTAATTAATTTTTAGTTAAATTTGATTTTAATTTTTTAAAAATTAAACCCGTCCATTGGACGGGTCCTTATCTAGTTATTATATAAAGTATGGTTTTCAAAATTAGTTATTCATGTGATCGTGACACGTGTCAAATCTATCGATCTTAGATTTTGCCATGTGTCTAAAGATAATTAAAAATTTAAATTTAAAAAGATAATTAAAAATTTAAAAATAATTTATACCTATATTTCCATAAGAGATTTTGCCATGTGGCAAAAAAAAAAAATTGGTTTTAACAAATTAAAAATTGTAAAAAGATAATTATAACAAATTTATAAATTAAAAGAGTTTTATAATATAAAGAAATTATATGTATATTTTTCATAAAAATAGAAATTATAAAATAATGTTAAACGTTTTATTTATAAGTTACTAACTGTACAAGAAAAAAAAATTCAAAATAGAAAAAATTAAACAAATTATATAATTTATTAATCATATAAGAAAAAGGATTGTAAATACTCGTCTCTATATAAACAAATAGGTTACGTTTTCTCATATTTTCTCACCAAGCAAACTAATTTCTTCAGAAACACCACCATTTCTTTAAATTCATTCTATTAGTAAAGTTTTTCCTCTCTTTTTTTGTCATAAATTATTTTAAAGATAAAATTAGTAACTAACCTTTGACTCAAAAATAATTAAGGAAATAGCCATGAGTAAAAAAAAACTTCAGAAACTAATGTTTTTCAGCGATGAAATAGTCCTCAAACAAAAGACGAAACATACATGTAATTAGGATTTTAAAAAAATATGAAATAAAAACTAATAACAGGAAATAAAAAAAAAAAAAAAATCAATACTGGAATTTTGACGACGAAAGAGAGACATCCACCTAGAATAAGAGGAAAAAATAATGTCATTTAATAAAATAGCATATCATACTAAAAGAAATAGGAGTAGCATGTGATTGTTAATAGAGGTGACGATGGTGGTGGTTGATGGTTACAGATGTGGTGAAATATTTACTTTAAGAACAACATGAATCATGTAGAAATTATTTATCATTTGTTGGAAATATATCATGTCATTTATATATATATAAAAAAAAAAACACTTTGAATTACAATGGTTTTCTAAAAATGACATGTGATATTCAGATCCAAAGAATATACGGCGATGGAGGTAAATTAAGGAATTATGAACGGTAAGCCGATGGACATAGACTAGAGTTGTTGTCGGAAAGAGGTTCGGCTCGATGCCAAAGGAGATAAAGAAGGAGAAGAAATAAGATCAGTTGGGAAAGAGGAGAAGATGCGGTAATGGTGGTGTTAGTGATAAATAGGCCAACATTTATATTAGATGATTTAATAATTAGTATAAAATAACTACAAATAGTATTTTATATTGTGCGTTATGCATAATAAATCTATTCAAAAATAATTAAAATGCTGCATTTTCTAAAATTAAAACATAGATGTTTATATAATTTATTTAAGCTTAAAAAAAAGATAAGTGATAATTTCGACCAGCAACCCGTGCAACGCACGGGTCCATATCTAGTATATATATATGGGAACTTGTGAAATCATTTTTTTCATTTAACCGATGGCGGACAAAAAAATAGAAGGAAAAATATATAATGTTGTTAATTTTCTTAAAAAGAAAACCAAAAATTCTTCATTTATTTTTATAATTTTATGGTTAGAGTTACGAAGAAAATACTTTTTATGTCAGCAAATAAAAAAAGAAAGAAAAAATAAAATTGATGAAACTCATTATGTATGTGACACATCAACAAAAATAGATTTTAATGTTTTTATTTTAGTATTTAGAAAATATATCTTTAAAGTTATTCTTTTTGTTTAAAATCTAGTAAGTAAATGAAAAAGAATTATTAAATCTTGCAAAAAGACAATATGATATTTTTTTAATTAATTTTGAAATATTATAGATTCCATGAACTGATGTTAAGCATCTTGTTCTCTTAAATAACATCTCTTTTTATAAATGAAAAGATTTGGTAACTGAAGAAACTTTATTGGTCATAACAATTTTTAGAAAAATTTGTTTGTATATGAAAAAAAAATCATGACAACTTAATCATGAACATGAAAGTAATGTTCTTATCTTCAATTTTAATTATTGATTTTTTGTCTATTCAGAGTCTTTCTTTAGCTTGCTTATATATAGATTAACAAAAACATACAATTCTCATAGAGAGAAAAGTTTAGAAGAAAACTAGAAAAGGTGAAAGTATGGAGAGGACAAGTACTTCACTTCTATTCCTTGTTAGCTTAGTTATCATATTTGCCACAGGTATTAATATATTATATACATATATCTTTTATATACTTAATTTTTACTCAAAAATTTGGCTATTTTGTGATATTACCCTATTATATAATCTTTTACATACCTTTCAATTGTTATGTTTTTACTCTTCATCACATATTTTTCTTACAGTTTAAAATTTTCAACAGTATAATTCTACGATCAGAATAAACAAATTTTGATATTGCCAAGAGTCTATATGAACAATTAAGGAAACAACCCTGCTTGACATTTTTAGTACACCCGTAGATGAATTAACGTAGGTTCACATGGCATGGGATGAAAAAAAAAAAAAAAAAGAAAAACACAGTATGATAGTAAGTTATGTGATTTTTTTTTTATGAATTGACTTGGTCTTACAATGATGACACAAATAAGACTATTATCTCTAATCATGAACAAATGTATTAGATATAACAACAACAAAATCAGTTTAGTGCGTACGTGCTAGCTTAGTCGTCCTTAGTGAGTACTACGGCGTTTGGCTCCTGAGGTCCCAAGCTAAGTTGGTTGGGTCATGTAGGATTAGTTTTTCGTTGGCTCAGTAACTTTGGTGTCTTTTTATTCTGCCCATCCGGCGACATAAGATTGAATTACATATATAACAATATTTGTAGATGACATTGAAAAAATCGCAATGACATGACTTATTTCCATCAAATAGTTATTTTGTTATGTGAACAACTAATTTATCACAATGATGTTCTATCAAACTACACCTCAAATCCTAAACTCTAACCTATGTTTAATACATTAGATGCCCATATATATATATAAACATGTTACGAAAATATCACATATTTCATAACTATATATATAAAAAAATTCTCTCATTGCTATTTTTAAAATTTATTTGTACTTTATATCTATATGGTACAAATACTCTTATTTTTATGTTTTTTTTTTTTTGAACACCCTCTTATTTTTATGTTAAGTTTACTAAATCATATAATGTTTCAGTTGTGAATCAGATAAGAGCACAAACATGTGACGACAAACTAGGCTCTTGTGAAAATTGCGACCAAAGGTGCAAGGCCAAACACGGACCATCGTCCGTAAGCAAATGTAACGGTCCGGATGGGATGTGCAAGTGCACCTACGAATGTGCGTCATTTAAACCAGCCAAAGTGTGCGTCGGTGCGACTGATATGTGCACTGACACTTGTCCTCAGAGTTGTTGTGATAGACAATGCGCAATAAAATATAAGAATGGACATGGGGGTTGTGTCAACTATGCTGGTTATAGGATGTGCATATGCGAGTACTCTTGCTAAAACATATTGACAAAAGTTGTTAAAAAAATTATTATGGTGATAAAACTATTGTTGTTACTAGTTCAATAACTCAGATAAATTTCGATTTAATATAAACATATCTAAAGAGAATTGTTGTTAATGTTTGTGATAACTAAAACAAACTACACTTGAAGATCCAACCAAACCGCAACACAAACCCTTACATGTTTCTAATCTAAGGCCTGAGACAGATAAATTAAATACAAACTACATTTTTCTTACAAAAGATATACCTCTGCTCTTTCAATCATCAGTAGAAGAATGTGTGTTGTTGGGCAATCTCCGGCCACTGACAAAGCTACTGAACAAATGTAGAGCTCGTGAGGGCTGTGCATATGGTACCATATGAGCCGCTCCTCTCACCGTTGCAAACGTCAGTAGTTTTCCGTATTCAATGGCCCAGCCTCCAACCTAGTCACATCCACCAGTTTGCAATCAGTTAGAGAAATTTTTGCAGGGGTAAGAAGCAAACTTGGCTTCTGCTGTTTAATGGCGTAGGCAACTACCTGACTTTTGTGGAACCAGGCTCCATACGGAACTGTGGTCTCGAAGTTGAGATCGTTAGCAAGTTCTCTTACGAGAGTTCTTGAACCGACGAATGGAACTACAGAATCTTGATCTCCACTGCAATTTCGACAAGCTGGGTGTTAAGCTGCAAGAAAACAGGAGAAGAAGTAGATAAAAGGGATCTTTAATAGAATTATTACCTGAAGATCCAAACAGGAGTTTTGTTCTGTATAATTCTCTTCAGAATCGGAAGCATGTCGATATTCCCATCGGTGTCAGAGTAGTTCAACTGACTGTGACAGGCAAAGTAAAGTATCCAATCGCAATCAGTACAAAAATATATCAACTACAGTTATAAACAACTTCTTTAATTTTGTGATCAACGAAATTGAGAGAGGGTTAGATAATATACCCGCTGCACATTGACCATTCATAAGGCAGATGAGTACGGTTCGCATGAAGCGCCTTTTGTACCTCTGGAAGGTTAAAGTAGAACCGTCTTTCATAGGTCATACACACATCCACTCCCAAGCTCAGTTTAGTAGCCTGAAGTTGTTTTAACAAATTGACAGATAATTCAACAAAAGTTTTGTTGGTGGAACAAAAGGTGAAGAAGGACTGACCATTTTCTTGAGCCTCAGCTCTTGCTGGACGATAGAGGGATAACATACGTCGAGGAGAACATCATAGTTGTTGACATACTCACTGATGATGTTTCCGGTTTCACTAATAGCATCATTGCAGGCCGTGCTTACGTTATGGGGGCTGGCAAATGTGTAATCATCAAAGTCACATTGGCTCGTGATTGTGAGTTTGAGTTCATCAGAAATCATCCCATGCGACCAGAAGAACTCGTACGTAGCTGGACTGTCTCTGTCAAGTTTCAGTAGTGGATTCCCGATCTGATCAGAAAGAACAAACAGACAAAGGATTCAAAAGAGAAACAAAAGAGTTGATGTGATGACAAGAAGAAGGTTCTTTTGCTTACTGCAACGCCTTTAATGTTGAATTTGAATCCACTGGAGTGTGCATTGTAGCTGAGAATCGCATCAGCCAATTGCGGTATGTAATGTCCTACAAAAAATAGATATGAGAAAACTGATGGTTTTAAGGTAAACATTCAATACTTTTCATTGATATCAAAGACACACCAGCATAGCTTTCACCAGTAAGAAAGAGGTCCCGAGACTTCGACTTTGGGAACTTGTCAAACCATCTCAACAAGAACACGAGCATATCTCTAGCTGTTCAACCACAAAACATGTCAAGAAACAACAGTCTTCTAATATGGTTTGAAAAGGGCGTTATAAAATTTACCAGTAGTTTTGTCCCCGGTGTTGTAATCAGTGCTTCGGTTGGAGTAAGACCATCCTACTCCAGCCGGTGACTCCACAAAAAGCAAGTTCGAGGCTACACATATTACAAGAAGAGACAATAGCTTCAAATATAAAATCACAGAGTTCTGTGCTGTTTGCCTAAAATTGTCAAAAACAAACCTTTGTTCCAAGACAAGGAGTTAACGCGAAGGCCACGGCCATCTCCAGTGGGGTAAAATGGACCCAACTCAGTGAAAGCTCCTCCACCAATTGAAGAACAACCTGGACCTGCAATGCAAACCTCAAATATGAAATTTCATTTACACATCCTTTAAGTTATGCAGAAACTGAGAATCAAAAGACGGACCTCCATTGAGCCAAAGGGTCAATGGTTTTGTGTCTGGTTGTTTCACAGCCTCCACGTAGTAATAGAACAGACTCCGACCAGCTTTCACATCGACATCGACATAACCTGCGTATTGTCTGAACCCAACAGTTGGTTGACCTGGCAGCCTCACCACCAAATCTTCTTCTGGGTATCCATCTGCAAACCACTGCATTGACAGCAACACCACCACCATAGCGACAGCCACAGTCCCCGACAATACACTGGCCATCTTCTACGGCTTTCTTAAGTACCTGAAACATATCCATTATATGTCAAATGAATCCACAACACATTTATAAACCCAATTTAAACCAACAGGAAAGATTTACACTATGATTGATCTAAACAAGAGAAATCTACATAACACCAATACCAAAAACATATCATTTAGCTGCAGATGTGAAACAAGAACAATTTGGAATTAGGAACTAAAAGACAAAAAGATCTTGTACATTTTTCACAACTAAAAGACTACATTGCTCGAATTAATGAGACAAGAGGACAACACATGTGATATATCAAACATTGGAGATTCTTGATGTCTCTAACAGTAAGATCTAAGTTCAAAAACACTTCAAAATCAGCTAATTGGTTATAAGAACCCAAACCCAGAAAGAACTGTGAAATGGTACTGGAAAATTCACAAGTAAAACATAAATCTTTGAGATACCCATTAAGCAAAATCCACTTTCGTATACGTTACAAACAAGAAAAAGTTATTGAATAGACATGAAATTACGAAATTGGGGAAGAATCACTACAAAACAGCAGATTACTACTATTGATTGTTCGATCCTCAAGGTGACGACTCTAGTCTTATCTTCTTCAATCGGACATTGGTAGAGAAAACGAGAATCAATGGCTGGAAAGCCACTTTTGAGAAAAAAAAATGCTGGAATGCCACTCATCTAATTTTTATTTCTGAGAGAATTAAAAATAAAACAATTTAAATCAGAAAATTATGAAAAGACTAAAAACCCAAAAATCAAATCCCTAATTTCTCATTTTTTCCCTTGCTCTTGGAACAGAGGATTCGAAACTTAATCGTTTTTTGAGTTTCTCATTTTTCCCCTTTTACTCAAAAATCAAATCCCTAATTTCTCATTTTTTCCCAAATCGAAAATCAACAAAAATCTTCTCGAATTCGTGGAATCGAATTGAAATTTCGTCGAGTTCGTCGCCGTGGGAGTGTTGTTTCGTCGAGTTCGTCGCCGTGGGAGTGAAATTAATGGAGTGTTCGTCCCCCGATAGTAATCCTTTGAGAATCCTGCCACCGATAGTAATGGCTCGTGTAAAGACGGTGATGATTTGGTATACGAGTCGACGGAGAGGCGTTGGAGAGAAGAAACCGCCGGAGAAGAACCACCAACAAATGCTTCGGAGTTTGAGACTCCAAAAGGAACCGCGGAGATGGAAGTTGATCCGATAGAACCACCAACAGATGCATCGAAGATTGAGAGTCGGAAAGGTACCTCCGACATGGAAGAGGATTCCGAGAGTGAAAAAGAAACTCCGAAAGAAACTAAAATCGATAAGACCGAGTTAGCCCGAGAGGCTGAGCGAGAGAATGATCCAACATAAGGAGTTGGTGGCTTGAATGGAAAAAGGGATAGTCTCCTCACGAAGCGTTGCATGCGTCAGCAGCAGCAGCCTCCTGGAGCTGGCCTCGACGATCCAATCAACCTGCATATTCTATGGAAGGTGATCTGAAAAATGAGGTATGCGTTCTTACTTGGCATTGTGCACTCATGGTCATGCCAATTAGATAGAATTTAATGTCCGTTGTTTCACATGTTTTAAGAATCCTCTGTTCCTTTCCATGAATTTTCTTATGTTTTCTTTTCCAATAATTGCAGAAATCGTTTTCATTTGCAGTGAGAGATTCACTAGTTAATGTTGGTCCAATAAAAGATTTTGCGTATGGCTTAAGGATTAATGCTGATGCAAACACCACTGGGATTTCCAAACAGAGCAAATATGAATTGGTGAGCCGTTTATTTGGAAGTTTTATATTATACTAGCTGCGGAAATGTTTTGTACAAAATATAACTTGCTTAGGGTTGTTATTTAGTAATGTCTATTTTTGAACTATTCTTTTAATTAACAATGAAATCCTTTGTTCTACAAATTTTGTAGTTGACATGCTTGCCTCGTATTTGTGTAAAAACTGTAAACGCCATACTAAATTTCTGTATTTTGGCGTTGAGGTGTGCTGTTCTAGTCATGGGAAGAAGTGGAAGGAAGAACTTGATCAAGAAATGGAAAGAAAGCGCACAAGTCAAGTCTTGTATGCAATCGTTTATTTAGGTACAACTGGTATATTTAGGTACAACTACGTATAGGTACAACTGGTATATTTTGGTTTTGTAGTGTTGCTCTGTCAAAGATAGAGGATAAATAGAAGGAAGAGCTTGATCAAGAACTGGAAAGAAAGCGCACAAGTCAAGTCTGCACGTACTTGTGGATTAAGATTGCACATGACTTATGTTTTTGTATTTCATTTTTGTATTTTGTTGTGTTGTGGATTAAGAACATATGACTTCGTATTTTTGTAAACCAAAAAAATATTTAGATTATATTTATGTTCAATTGGTTTTGTAGGTACAACTAGTCTATTTAGGTACAACTATGTGTATGGATTACTTATAAGAAAGTACAACTAGATCATTTTGGTACAACTGAGACAATTAAAAATAACATTTTAAAAAACAATTTTTAATAAATTTCAAAGAATTAAAAAAAAAAAAAATATATCCACGTAAGCATCATTTTTGGCGGCGGGATATTATTTTTAATCCACGTAAGCATCATTTTGGCGGCGGGATATTATTTTTAAATCATCACACGTGTGGTAAATTGTTTTGTTTTAAACATAGTTGTACTAGTTGTCCAGTTGTACTCACATGTTCATAGTTGGACTTTGGCGATTTTTGCGTATTTTCAGTTGGACTTTAATAAAAATTAGTAATTTTAAGTTGGACATATGTTGTTACACTATTAATTATCATCTAAGAAGTTTTCATAATACAATTTGTACGAAATCATAATTTTCACCTATTTTGCATCAAAATAAGTGATCACCTACAAAGTGTTCCTTGTACTATAAGGAGTGTTTCATATGAAAACAATAGTATGCACTAGGAAAATGATAAATTCAAGTTTTATTTATTTAAAATTGTTTCTTTTTTAGTTCAACATGTTTTTGGAATCCTTGTTAACTCTAATTTATCGTTTTTCTTATTTGTTGAATACACATACGGATATATTTATGGTCTTAGTTGTACCTTGTCAAAACCTAATTATACCTAGTTGAACATAGTTGTATGAATACGACAAGTACATATACTGATACATATATGGTTATAGTTATAGTTTTAGTTGTACCCAGTATATTTATGGTCTTAGTTGTACTAGTCGGTCCTAGTTGTACCAGTCGAATCTAGTTGTACCCGGTCGAACATGGTTGTACAGAAGAAATACGTATACATTTATGGTCTTAGTTGTACTCAGTCGAACCTAGTTGTACATATACGACGAATACATACATATACAAATATGTTCTTAGTTCCTTTATATTTACTTCCTTTAGACCAATACTTTATTTATATTTGAAGATGTTTTTAGGGAATTTCTTATATAAATCTTAATTTATAACTTTTCTAATTTAATAAAATTCATAATACAATGAACGTAGTTGAACTAATAGTATATATTTAGAATATGATAAATTCGAGTTTTATTTATTTTAAATTGTTTGTTTATAGTTCAAGATATTTTTGGAATCGTTACTAACTCTAATTTATCGTATTCATATTTGTTTTATAGAACTATGTATACATTTATGGTTTTAGTTGTACTTAGTCAAACCTAGTTGTACAAATACGACGAATTAAAATACAGATACGTTCTTAGTTGTACCAGTCGAACCTAGTTATATAAATTCGACAAATAATAATACATGTTTTATTTTCCAAAACATATAGATCAGTGACAGCGGCGGCAGATCGGAAGTGGTGGTGCCGTTCAGCAAAATCAGGAGTTCGGAGACATATTCAGCTCGAACCACAGCTGCTACAGTTGATAGTCCGTCTACTATGGTTGATTCTTCCGCCATCGTGTTCTTTATCGGCTCCGGCGTCAACGCAAAGCTCCGGTCTCGCCGCATCCAAGAAAAACACTTGGCGAGAGAATCTGAATCCCACGGCGAAGAGCATAGAGATGCTATTCTTGACTTCGAGGGGAGCCGGTGAGTGAAATGAAAGACGAGAATCGCGAAAGGTTTAGGATTAAAGGATCTAAAGATAGTTGTGGGAAAGATCTTTGTGGGAAATGTCTCAGATTTGGATATAAGGGAAAAATCTTGAGAGAAAAGAATTGAAAAACAGAAAAAAGAGAGAGATCCAAAGAAAATGATTCATGAAGAAGGGTCATCGTGAAGCAGAGAGATCCCGGCGCTGGTGAGTCTCTACCGGCACCGGAAAACATAGATGGAGAGTTGGTCTCGAGAATGGTGCCTGGGAGAGTCTCGGGGCTACTTCAATTCTGTATCCTGAGTGGCGTAATTGATCCTTCGTTGATTATAATCGCAATTAGATCTATTTCCATGTTATTCTCAAACAGATGAGAATTTCACGGAGACTGAAGTTTTACTTACTGTTAAATCTTTCAAATCAGATACGTAGATGCATTGAAGAGGAGATCGAAACAAGAGAGGAAGAGAGGAAGAGGAAGAAGAAGAAGAATAAAGCCTCTCTCTTTTTCTCTCTCTCGTTGATCGGAGCAAACAAAGAAACGACAACGTTTAGTTGGTAGCTTAGAGAGTATCAACCAATGTGCACGTGCCATAAGTGTGACCTCTGTGACGCTTTTGAATTATTGTTTTGTTAAACTTTCTTGATGATTCAGAGGGTTTCCAGGGGTAAAATCGAAATAACATATTAGTAGTGGCATACAGACTCTAAAATGGCAGGCCTGATTAAAATTCCCGGTTCAGTGGCAAACTAGCCTGTGACTCAGAAAACGAGTGAATGTGTTTTAAAAGTTTGGATGGATCAGAACCCAAAAATCGAAAAATTGTAACTCTAATTTACTCCGGTTCTTCTTGGTTAAATCCGGTTCGGTTGACTTGACTTTTTGTATTATAGAGAAATTTGGCCAATACGTCGTTGTGGACACCTTCTTACCAGTTTGGTGCAGTTTGTTGCGAAGACTACCTTTATTCTTTGTTGTGCTATCGTATAAGTTATGGCCCAAATCATGACCCAAATCATGACCCAAATCATGACCCCAAGTGTCATGGGAAGAGACTCTTGTGTACATTTTTGGCCCCCCATGATTGGGTCTTTCTGAAAGCAAAATCAACCTAAACTTGAAACCATATTTATCTCCTTCTAAGATTAGCTTAGCTTAAGCCAATAACTGTATTAGATTAGCTTAATATATTAGATATATTAAATTTATTTGATTATATTAGCATTTTTACCAAACACTTATTTAAAACAGATTTTATTCAATACTTATTTAGTTATTTTGTATGGAAGATTCGCTCGAGTTTCTTTTTCTTTTTTTTTCTTTTGTTAGTCAAAACTTTAATTTGGTACCATTTTGTATTATGACTTCGATATATGGACTAGCGATGTTCTTTTCTGTAGTTGATATTATATAAAACAAAAACGATTAAAAATATCCGTTTTAAATTTTAAACAGTGATAAATCAAATAAAGAGAAACGAATAACTAATAAATTCTGGTTTCTCACAAAATTTTCGGAGATGAAACTAATGATATTATTATTTTATAGAAAATTTCAATCTTTGTTTAGATTATTTTGTCACACAACAACATTGAGCAGGATTAGTAGTACATTCACCATACAATAAAAGGCTTATGTTTTTTCTACACCACTTCATGCATCCTTGGGTCCCTCCTCCATTCATACACGATTCTGGACCGAAGCATTTTTTCCAATCTTGCTTTATTCCAATACCTCTTGAAACAAATCATTGTAATCATCTAAATTAATGATAAAAATATGTTCATAACAAAAAAAATTGAGAGTATAATAAGATTGTACCAAGAGTACTATCGGAACATTGAACCGACGATGTGACAAAAAGAATAGTGAGAAGTAATACGACAAGCATTTTTTTGGTGATAGCCATTTCTATGACAATCTTTTTGATAACTTTGTATAAGATTTTCTTTTCTGGCTATTGTTTAGAGTCAGTGGCCGATATATATATACACATATGATTAGCCAATTAGGGATATAGACTTCCCGTGAAAGCAGAAATTAATAAATACACAAGATTCTACTAACACATATGTAAGAAAGAGAAATACAAATATGTAAATATCTCCCAATATTTTTTAACATTTATTTTATTTCACAATCTCCCAATACCCTTAACTACACAACACATGTTATAAAAAAAGCTTTTCCTGTCATACATTGAAAACGTAAGAATCTTTCAATTAATTTTCTTATAATTAACAGTAAATATTTTGATTTGTTTGTTATTTATATATAATAAATTGTTTTTTCCTAGATTACTAATGAAAATTTGAAATAAATTTTAAAGAATCTAATAGTCTTAAGTTGAAATTATTCATTTATTTTAAGGATTTAACTATAGTAAATGTTGGGCATCTGCATCTCTGTTTCAAGCCGCATCACCGTTGGAGGCTGAAGCACGTAGTTGTTTGGCTGCTATGCAACACACGTGGGGAAGAGGATATACGACGGTCATCTTTGAAGGAGATTGTCAGACTCTCATTAAGTGTATCAACGGAAAACTTAAGATTGCAGCCATCAAGAATCTGCTGTGTGATATAAAGTTTTGGGCATCAAGGTTCAAGAAGATCATATTTGATTTTGTGAAACGAAGATGTAATGAAGCTGCACATGTTTTAGCAAAATTTGGATGTAATGAGTTTAGTTTTCATTCAGCATCTGTAAATCCTCCTCTGTGGTTGGAACAAAAACTCTGTAATGATTTTGAGAATGCAATATAAATGTTTTATTTCGACGGAAAAAAAAAACTATAGTAAATGTATTGATTTTTTTACCTTTGATTTGTAAATGTATTGATAACTTTTGAACATTTGTGAGAAAATATTTATTATTTTATACATAGGAAATTGTTTTTCCAAGATTACTAATGAAAATTTGAAATATAATATCAAGATTCTATTAGTTTTGAGCTGAAATGATTTATCTGTTTTAAGGATTTAACTATAGTAAATGTATTGATTTTGTTCCCTTTGATTAGTAATTGTATTGATAACTTTTGAACATTTCTGAACAAATATTTCTTTTTTTTATACATACTAAATCTTCTTACCAAGATTATTACTAATGAAAATTTTAAATAAATTTTGAATATTTTAATAGTTGTAAGTTGAAATGATTCATTTGTTTTAACTTTTAAGGATTTACTATTTTTTTTTTTTTTTGGTAATCAAAACTTTAAACTATATTAATTTTAAAAATTAGAATTTAAGATCCAATCATGATATTACAATTCATGGTATGCAAATTAGTATTAATTTAATATCCAATCTTGAAATTTAATTATTTCTTTTGCAAAAAAAAACTCTTAAAAGGTTATGTATATTTTATTTGTCAAAATATATAAATTAAAATGGTTATGAAATTCAAACCAAGATACAAATTTCATAATACCATCATCAAGATAACTCTATCACACAGTGCTAAGTGCTAATTTACCTGCTTTATGATTGTAATTACGAGATATGACAGAAAGAGAGAAGAAAACATACAAATGTTGAGAAATTTGGCCAATACGTCGTTGTGGACACCTTCTTACCATTTTGGTGCAGTTTGTTGCAAAGACTACCTTTGTTCTTTGTTGTGCTATCATATAAGTCATGGCCCAAATCATGACCCAAATCATGACCCCAAGTGTCATGGGGAGAGACTCTTGTGTACATTTTTGGCCCCCCATGATTGGGTATTTCTGAAAGCAAAACCAACCTAGACTTGAAACCATATTCATCTCCTTCTAAGATTAGCTTAGCTTAAGCCAATAACTGTATTAGATTAGCTTAATATATTAGATATATTAAATTTATTTAATTATATTAGCATTTTTACCAAACACTTATTTAAAACAGATTTTATTCAATACTTATTTAGTTATTTTGTATGGAAGATTTGCTCGAGTTTCTTTTTCTTTTTTTCTTTTGTTAGTCAAAACTTTAATTTGGTACCATTTTTGTATTTTGACTTCGATATATGGACTAGCGATGTTCTTTTCTGTAGTTGATATTATATAAAACAAAAACATTTAAAAATATCCGTTTAAAATTTTAAACAGTGATAAATCAAATAAAGAGAAACGAATAACTAATAAATTCTGGTTTCTCACAAAGTTTTCGGAGATGAAACTAATGATATTATTATTTTATAGAAAATTTCAATCTTTGTTTAGATTATTTTGTCACACAACAACATTGAGCAGGATTAGTAGTACATTCACCATACAATAAAAGGCTTATGTTTTTTCTACACCACTTCATGCATCCTTGGGTCCTTCCTCCATTCATACACGGTTCTGGACCGAAGCATTTTTTCCAATCTTGCTTGATTCCAATACCTATTGAAACAAATCATTGTAATCATCTAAATTAATGATAAAAATATGTTCATAACAAAAAAAATTGAGAGTATAATAAGATTGTACCAAGAGTACTATCGGAACATTGAACCGACGATGTGACAAAAAGAATAGTGAGAAGTAATACGACAAGCATTTTTTTGGTGATAGCCATTTCTATGACAATCTTTTTGATAACTTTGTATAAGATTTTCTTTTCTGGCTATTGTTTAGAGTCAGTGGCCGATATATATATACACATATGATTAGCTAATTAGGGATATAGACTTCCCGTGAAAGCAGAAATTAATAAATACACAAGATTCTACTAACACATATGTATTTTTTTTTTTTTTTTGTCATCCGCAATTAATTAGAGCTCAAAAGAGCCATTCCTGAGGAATGTTGTTTACATAGGTGATATGAAACGGTTCTGTACAAACTTTTCGTGTTAGGTTATCCGCCTTAACATTAGCCCTACGAGAAATTAAAGATAAAGAAAAAGATGAAAACTCCTCCTTGTCGCTCTGAAATTCCTCCAAATACACTGAAAACGCCGGCCATTCGGTTGGAGAAGACACCATCTTCACCAGGTCTGAACAGTCTGTAAAGAACGCTACCTCTTGATTATCTGCACCAATCATACACTTCATCGCCCAGAGAAGGGCCTCGACTTCGGCATGTAGTGGAGATAGACTTCTACGGAGGTTCGCAGCTCCCATGGTTGACGGCTCTCCATTTGACGATGTACAGAACCAGCCTGTACCGGAGAACTTATCACTTTCTTTCCATGATCCATCAACAAAACAACATATGTAAGAAAGAGAAATACAAATATGTAAATATCTCCCAATATTTTTTAACATTTATTTTATTTCACAATCTCCCAATACCCTTAACTACACAACACATGTTATAAAAAAAGCTTTTCATGTCATACATTGAAAACGTAAGAATCTTTCAATTAATTTTCTTATAATTAACAGTAAATATTTTGATTTGTTTGTTATTTATATATAATAAATTGTTTTTCCTAGATTACTAATGAAAATTTGAAATAAATTTTAAAGAATCTAATAGTCTTAAGTTGAAATTATTCATCTATTTTAAGGATTTAACTATAGTAAATGTTGGGCATCTGCATCTCTGTTTCAAGCCGCATCACCGTTGGAGGCTGAAGCACGTAGTTGTTTGGCTGCTATGCAACACACGTGGGGAAGAGGATATACGACGGTCATCTTTGAAGGAGATTGTCAGACTCTCATTAAGTGTATCAACGGAAAACTTAAGATTGCAGCCATCAAGAATCTGCTGTGTGATATAAAGTTTTGGGCATCAAGGTTCAAGAAGATCATATTTGATTTTGTGAAACGAAGATGTAATGAAGCTGCACATGTTTTAGCAAAATTTGGATGTAATGAGTTTAGTTTTCATTCAGCATCTGTAAATCCTCCTCTGTGGTTGGAACAAAAACTCTGTAATGATTTTGAGAATGCAATATAAATGTTTTATTTCGACGGAAAAAAAAAAACTATAGTAAATGTATTGATTTTTTTACCTTTGATTTGTAAATGTATTGATAACTTTTGAACATTTGTGAGAAAATATTTATTATTTTATACATAGGAAATTGTTTTTCCAAGATTACTAATGAAAATTTGAAATATAATATCAAGATTCTATTAGTTTTGAGCTGAAATGATTTATCTGTTTTAAGGATTTAACTATAGTAAATGTATTGATTTTGTTCCCTTTGATTAGTAATTGTATTGATAACTTTTGAACATTTCTGAACAAATATTTCTTTTTTTTATACATACTAAATCTTCTTACCAAGATTATTACTAATGAAAATTTTAAATAAATTTTGAATATTTTAATAGTTGTAAGTTGAAATGATTCATTTGTTTTAACTTTTAAGGATTTACTATTTTTTTTTTTTTTGGTAATCAAAACTTTAAACTATATTAATTTTAAAAATTAGAATTTAAGATCCAATCATGATATTACAATTCATGGTATGCAAATTAGTATTAATTTAATATCCAATCTTGAAATTTAATTATTTCTTTTGCAAAAAAAAACTCTTAAAAGGTTATGTATATTTTATTTGTCAAAATATATAAATTAAAATGGTTATGAAATTCAAACCAAGATACAAATTTCATAATACCATCATCAAGATAACTGTATCACACCGTGCTAAGTGCTAATTTACCTGCTTTATGATTGTAATTACGAGATATGACAGAAAGAGAGAAGAAAACATACAAATGTTGAGAAATTTGGCCAATACGTTGTTGTGGACACCTTCTTACTAGTTTGGTGCAGTTTGTTGCAAAGACTACCTTTGTTCTTTGTTGTGCTATCATATAAGTCATGGCCCAAATCATGACCCAAATCATGACCCAAATCATGACCCCAAGTGTCATGGGGAGAGACTCTTGTGTACATTTTTGGCCCCCCATGATTGGGTCTTTCTGAAAGCAAAACCAACCTAGACTTGAAACCATATTCATCTCCTTCTAAGATTAGCTTAGCTTAAGCCAATAACTGTATTAGATTAGCTTAATATATTAGATATATTAAATTTATTTAATTATATTAGCATTTTTACCAAACACTTATTTAAAACAGATTTATTCAATACTTATTTAGTTATTTTGTATGGAAGATTCGCTCGAGTTTCTTTTTTTTTTTTCTTTTGTTAGTCAAAACTTTAGTTTGGTACAATTTTTGTATTATGACTTCGATATATGGACTAGTGATGTTCTTTTCTGTAGTTGATATTATATAAAACAAAAACGATTAAAAATATCCGTTTTAAATTTTAAACAGCGATAAATCAAATAAAGAGAAACGAATAACTAATAAATTCTGGTTTCTCACAAAGTTTTCGGAGATGAAACTAATGATATTATTATTTTATAGAAAATTTCAATCTTTGTTTAGATTATTTTGTCACGCAACAACATTGAGCAGGATTAGTAGTACATTCACCATACAATAAAAGGCTTATGTTTTTTCTACACCACTTCATGCATCCTTGGGTCCCTCCTCCATTCATACACGGTTCTGGACCGAAGCATTTTTTCCAATCTTGCTTGATTCCAATACCTATTGAAACAAATCATTGTAATCATCTAAATTAATGATAAAAATATGTTCATAACAAAAAAAAATTGAGAGTATAATAAGATTGTACCAAGAGTACTATCGGAACATTGAACCGATGATGTGACAAAAAGAATAGTGAGAAGTAATACGACAAGCATTTTTTTGGTGATAGCCATTTCTATGACAATCTTTTTGATAACTTTGTATAAGATTTTCTTTTCTGGTTATTGTTTAGAGTTAGTGGCCGATATATATACACATATGATTAGCCAATTAGGGATATAGACTTCCCGTGAAAGCAGAAATTAATAAATACACAAGATTCTACTAACACATATGTAAGAAAGAGAAATACAAATATGTAAATATCTCCCAATATTTTTTAACATTTATTTTATTTGACAATCTCCCAATACCCTTAACTACACAACACATGTTATAAAAAAAGCTTTTTCTGTCATACATTGAAAACGTAAGAATCTTTCAATTAATTTTCTTATAATTAACAGTAAATATTTTGATTTGTTTGTTATTTATATATAATAAATTGTTTTTCCTAGATTACTAATGAAAATTTGAAATAAATTTTAAAGAATCTAATAGTCTTAAGTTGAAATTATTCATCTATTTTAAGGATTTAACTATAGTAAATGTATTGATTTTTTTACCTTTGATTTGTAAATGTATTGATAACTTTCGAACATTTGTGAGAAAATATTTATTATTTTATACATAGGAAATTGTTTTTCCAAGATTACTAATGAAAATTTGAAATATAATATCAAGATTCTATTAGTTTTGAGCTGAAATGATTTATCTGTTTTAAGGATTTAACTATAGTAAATGTATTGATTTTGTTCCCTTTGATTAGTAATTGTATTGATAACTTTTTTTTATACATATATATTTCTGAACAAGGTGTCGTTGTGGACACCTTCTTTACCAGTTTGGTGCAGTTTGTTGCGAAGACTACCTTTGTTCTTTGTTCTGCTATCATATAAGTCATGGCCCAAATCATGACCCCGAGTGTCATGGGGAGAGACTCTTGTGTACATTTTTGGCCCTCTATGATTGGGTCTTTCTGAAAGCAAAACCAACCTTGACTTGAAACCATATTCATATCCTTCTTATAGCAATCTCTATTACACTAATACCTTGTGAAAAATATTTGTCTCCTTCCAAGAGGCATATAACCATCAAGACGTGCTAACTTATCACTTATTAGAGATCATAGAAGGGGTATAGCTTTATGAATTTTCATACCATGTACCTTAACTTGTGATGTCTGCCATGGTAGAGTCAATCTGAGCTAATTTCATAATTAATTGTTTGGTTTCTATCCAAATTTTGTAAATGTTGTCATATTTAACTTTTCATATATACTAATAGAGTTCATTAGAAAACTCTCATCGTGATCAATGGCGGACCAAGAAATAAATTTTACCCGGGTCAATATTTAAAAAAAAAAATTTCATAAGTAAATAAAAAAAGAGTATATAAACTGCTGTTATTTTTTAATTTTTTAAAGTATATAAGACAAAAAGATATGCATTTAAGTTAAAATGGAAAAAAAAAAGCCCAAATATGTCATTTGGGATGCTTGAACCCGGGTTTAGATGTGTCAACAACTTGGAAAATACCAACTATGCTGTTGGAACTTTTGTTGCTTATATACACTAAAATATATTTGATTAATTTACCCAGATCAGGTGACCCACCTTTCTTGTAAGTGGGTCCGCCCCTATTCGTGATGATTAACGGGAGCTTTCCATAAATAGTGTTCCAAATATGTGTAAACTAATGATCATAGGAAAAGCCCATATATGATGTTACCTTAGATAGAGCTCTCCCTTAGATAAGGATCATGTTTGTAACATGTGATCTAAAGCGAGCATAATTTTTGTCTTTTTGTCCGCTTCACAATGAATACATTGCATACCAAAGACTTATCATTTAGCTGCAGATATGAAACAAAACAATTTTAAATTAGGAACAAAACGACTAAAAGATTTTGTAGATTTTCACAATTGCATTTCGCAACTAAAATACTACATTGCTCAAATCAATGAGATAAGTGGACAACAAATGTAATATATCAAACAATGATGATTCTTGATGTCTCTAACAATAAGATCTAAGTTACTAAGGTGTTGATTGGTTCTCTAGCTATCACCCGCCTAGCGGTTGTTAGCGGTTTGTTGCGGTTATTAGCGGTTTTCCTAAAACGCTTTATGATCAGCTAATTGGTTATAAGAACCCAAACCCATTATATTAGAGTAAGAGCTGTGTAATAATTTTGGAAAATTTGCGAGTAAAGCATGAACAAAGTGCATTCTCGTATATGTTACAAACAACAGCAAGAACAAAAACTTTATCCGTTTGCTGAATTATGAACTGAGAAAAAATAAAGAATATACCCTAAAATTTTACGAAATTGCAGATTGCTACTGATTGTTCGATCTTCAAGATCAAACTAAAGAATATTACAGCGAAATTTGGTGATAATCCTGGTCTTGTCTTCTTCAATTGGACATTGTGAGTGAAAGAAAATGACTAAAGAGAACCCAAAAATTGAAATACAACTCTAATTTTACTGACGCCGTGACGCACCTGTATAATTAGTATGATGCAAGTGCTGGTTAACTCCGGTTCGGTTCGGTAGGATAACTTCTCTAATGTTAGGGCATGATTATCAAGGGTTTCTTAACAATGGCTCTTAGTAATTTTTTAGTATTAAAATCTTAAGATTTACTTCTTACAAACATGTTTTGGCTCTTAGCTAAGAAACTTTTCGTACCAATCTTACCATTTGAAATTTAATTAAATACTTTTTAATACTTAAGATTTACCTAAGACTTGGTTAAGAGCCTACCAATAATCATGGTCATAGTTACCAACTTTTTTCGTACGTTTAAGTCACCATTTTAATCCCTGCATTAACTTATTATTTAAAACAGATTTAATTATATACTTATTAGGGAAAAATCCAGGCTACGTCCGGGTATAGATTTCACAATTTTGTTAATTTAGTTTTACTCTATCTTTAGTTTCTTTTAGTTAAAACAATTTGATAATTTTAATACATGCTAGTGAAACAATCAATAATTTTTTTTACTGTAATTTAATTCATTATTATTTTTATTACTACTAGGTTATGAACCCCCGCGATGTCGCGGAGAAACTCATTTTCAACAAATAATTTTTATTATGTTTATGTATTAAAATATTATGATAATATATTCAAATATTTGAATGATTACATAAAATTAACTATGTTTTAAAGTTATACCGTAAATATTTTCCAAATAGGTTAAAACAATTTATGAATAAAAATATAAAAAAAAAGAAGAATTGTGATTAAAAACACTTTTGAAATATTTTTATGAATGTAAAATTATTTATAAATGACAAAATACATATCTAAGAGTTATAATATAGAGATGAGAAATTCTAACGGGTCAAACCCCAAAAATTCGGATGGAATCGGTACTCAGCACGACTTGTGGGTGACTAAGAAATTCGCCCGAGAATTGGTATTTTTTGTTTCTCCACTGTTCTTTAAATAAAATTAACAGAAAGTTGCGATAGAAAGATACAACCGATAAAAAATAATCGTCGATATTTTAACTTAAAGTTACGATAAAAAGACACAAACGAAAAAAGTAACTGTTAATATTTTAATGGAAAGTTACGATAAAAAGACACAACCAAAAAAATAACCTTCAACAAAAAATATAACAGTAAATTTTTAACGGAAAAGTTGCGATAAATAAACACAACTGAAAAAAATAACCGTCAATATTTTAACGGAAAGTTACGTTAAAAAGACACACACAAAAAAAGTAACCGTCAACGAAAAAAATAACCGTCAATATTTTAACGAATAGTTGCGAGAAAAAGACACAAGCGAGAAAAAATAACTGTCAATATTTTAATGGAAAGTTGCGTTAGAAAGACACAACCAAAAAAAATAATCGTCGATATTTTAACGGAAAGTTGCGATAAAAAGACACAAACGAAAAAAGTAACCGTCAATATTTTAACGGAAAGTTACGATAAAAAGACTAAACTTAAAAATAATTGTCAACCAAATAAATAACTGTCAATGTTTTGACATAAAGTTGCGATAAAAAGACACAACCGAGAAAAAATAATTGTCAATATTTTAACTGAAAGTTGCGATAAAAAGACACAATCGAGAAAACATAACCGTAAATATTTTAACGGAAAGTTACAATAAAAATACACAACTGAGAAAAAATTTCAATCAATATTTTAACGAAAAGTTGCGATAAAAAAAAAACAAAAACGAAAACAAGTAACCGTCAATATTTTAACGGAAAGTTGCGATAAAAAGACACAACCAAAAAAATAACCGTCAAAGAAAAACGTAACCGTCAATATTTTAACGAAGAGTTGCGATAAAAAGGTACAACCGAGAAAAAATAACCGTTAATATTTCAATGGAAAGTTGCGATAAAAATAAACAACAGAGAAACAATAACCGTCAATACTTTAACGGAAAAGTGCGATAAAAAGACATAAACAAAAAAAGTAACTGCCCATATTTTAACGAAAAATTACAATAAAAATACACAACCTCGGTATACCTATGGTATCAGGTAGTTTTCCTCTAACCTCGGAATTCTCAAATCTAGATTATCTTTATTGGAGACTTCCATCTACTCTAGAAAGGGGAGAGAAAACATATAGTTATGCTTGGATTTTGTGGTTCATATGGAAAGATAGGAATAAAAAGATATTCAAGGGATTATAATCTGAACCCACAGATATTTTAAATCTTGCCTTGAGTGAAAAATTAATGTGGGAAGAAGCTCAGGTGGATCTGATCGAAACTAGTCCTATTACGGAAACTTTGGAACGCCCAGTTCAATCGATAAGATGTCGGTTTGATGGTTCTTGGAAAACTTCGGATCCAACTATGGGTTTAGGATGGTGTTGTTTTCAAGGAAATGATCAATCGATACTGTTCGGTGCAAAGTGCCTACGGAGGTGTCCTTCCCCCCTTCATTAGGAGATGGAAGCTTTAATTTGGGCTATGAAGAATATCCTTTCAAGGAGGATAGATTGTCAGGCGTTTGAAACAGATTGTTCGGAGTTAGTCTCGATGATACAGTCCCCTGATGAATGGCCCGCTTTCTCCAATCTGCTAGACGAGTTTGGTTTTCTCCGTGCCTCTTTCCCCTTTTTCTCGCTCTCTCTTATTCCTCGTTTATGTAATGTCAAAGCGAACTGCTTAGCCCGTTCTTATAGACTTTTATTTTCTGAAGTTTCTTTTGTAGACACTTATCCTCCTAATTGGGCAACCAATCAAGGAGTTCTTTATTAATTAATGTGAGGTTGGGAAAAAAAAAAAAAAGACACAACCAAAAAATAATCGTCAACAAAAATATAACCGTCAATATTTTAACGAAAAGTTGCGATAAAACACACGCCCGAAAAAATAAGCGTTAATATTTTAACGAAAGTTGCGATAAAAAGGACAAAACCGTTCAGAAGTGCAAAATGCATTTATTGAGATTATTATCGCAACTTTGTATTCTAATGGTTTATGTAAAAAAATCTGTAGTATTACTAACTAAACAAAAAATGCAATGAAAAATATATAATGGAATGACGTAACTTTAAATGAATAATGCAACCTTAAAAATATAACCTTAAACTTAAAATATACCACTGTAATTTAACAAATATAACTGTAAATAATTCAACGAAAACTCAAAGAGAAAATTCAATAAAAAATACAACTGTAAATATTTAAACGAAAGGCTGCGATAAAAAAAACGCAACCGTTCAGAGGTTTAAAAGACATTTATTAAGATTACTATTATATATAGATTACTGTGCATTGTATTACCCTCATCTATATGTCTTCTTGCCACTTTTTTTTTTGTCATTTATTTTTCTATATTGGTCTCTATTTTATTTTTCTTAACAAAATTTTGTTCTCCATTGTAATAACTTTGGGTTCATACAACTTTTTTCAAAAACATAATTAGAATCTTAAACTCAATGTTATTTTTATATGTAAAATTTAACTGTTTGTATACGGAAAGTAATTTCCACGAGCAAACGATACAAACTATCAGTCTATCAATAAGTAGTAATAAGTAACAACCAGCAAAAACAGAGATATTTGGGCATCGATGAGTTGAATAAAAGAGTATAGTGCTTCCATTGTTGTAGAATTTTGAGATTTTTTTTTTATACATAAAGCATGAATTTCCCTTTAAAAATGAGCCTCAAGTCGATTAGTTCTCAAACAAAGAAAATGAAGAAAGCGATTAATGTTTTTTTAGAAGAAGTTAAAACCTTCAAGCATTATATGAAACAATCAAAGTTAAAAATGGAACAGTTTGAACGTAAGCATTGATCGAAAAGGGAAATGGATTGCTCTCGAATTAAGTAACCTGAATTACATATTGTACCAAAGAAACTATGCATATATATATCCTTGCAACAAAAACACTCTTGGATTTGGTTTTGAGTTATTCGCAAAGACATTAAAACTCCATTATGATATATCAAACTCACGATATGAAGAGCTTTGACCTTCGACGTGTGGAATAGAGTTTGAAATCCCTTACTAAGGGAGAATCGTAGCTTCGACCCGATCTTTCGTGACATCATCTTTCTCTGAAACAATGTTCGAAATCTAAAAATTTGATGGCGGGTAAGAAGTGCAGAGAGCTTTATATGCCATGATTAGATTTGATATGCTGATTGCAGAGGCTTTTGGTTGACTGGTACAGTTACGTAGGGCATGGTTTTATAAACCTTTCGGAAGAGAGGTCAGGTCATCATTATAGGGGACAATGAAGATGACGAAGTGGAAACGATGGCAGTTTCTTTTTAGGGGTTTGTAACTTGTAAGACAAAACCAAGTGTTCTTGGTCTAGTGGTTGCCACTTGTGGAGGAGTTGCCCTGTTGGTCTAGGCCAGGGATCGATTCTCCGCAAGCGCGCAATTGCTAGATCTCCACTTGGCCACATGGATATGGGCCCTTGCTTTCGGCCCATTTGCATACCCGGAGAGAGAGTCTATCTGTGGGCTGCACCTCCCCCAGGGGATTAGTCTGGGCCCCTCCATAGGTTTGGGATTCCCCTGAGTTTTCAAAAAAAAAAAAAAAAAAAAAAAAAAAACTTGTAAGACAAATCGATTCGACTTAAACAGTAGTGATTTAGGTTAGACGAAGATGATGACGATCGTCGAGTTCTGAGATTTGAAAACTCAAAAGGTATATTTCTTCTTGTTTGGGCTGTAGTAGTTTAGTTGGGCCTTCTCTTATTGGCTCAGTCCAACAAATATTTTCTCAAACAATATTAAGTTACGGGAGAGTTTATACTAGAAGAGCATTTACTCATTTAGAGTATGATGATGTCGCACCATTTTAGAGTGTTTTGGGTTTGCTGATGTGGACACATTGAGAAGTCTCGATGAACATCTTTTATTAGTAAGAGATTTTTACATGGAAACTTCGTTCGAGTTTATTTTTCTTTTTTGTTTTGTCAAACTTTGATTTGGTACAATTTGTGTATTATGACCTCGATATATGTAGACAAGTGATATATATATATATATATTTGTAATTGATATTATACAAAACAGAAACCATTAAGAAATCCAAACTGAAATACTAAAGTCTATTATTAAGCGGGTGCAATCTAGCATATTAAATTCCAAAATATTCGTTTGAAATTTCAAACAGTCATAAATCAAATAAAGAGAGGAGAAAAACTAATAAATTCTGGATTCTCACAAACTTTTGGAGATGAAACTAGTAAAAATTATTTTATAGAAAATTATAATCTTTGATTAGATTATTTTGTCACACAACAACATTGAGCAGGATTAGTAGTACATTCACCATATAATAAAACGTTTATGTTTTTTCTACACCACGTCATGCATCCTTGGGTTCCTTCTCCATTCATACACGGTTCTGGACCGAAGCATTTTTTCCAATCTTGCTTGATTCCAATACCTATTGAAACAAATCATTATAATCATCTAAAGGATAAAAATATGTTCATCACAAAAAAAAAATTGAGAGTATAATAAGATTGGTACGTACCAAAAGTGCTATCAGAACAATGAACTGACGATGTAACAAAAAGAATGGTGAGAAGTAATACGACAAGCATTTTTTTTGTGATAGCCATTTCTATGATAATCTTTTTGATAACTTTGTACTTTTCTGTTTATTGTTTAGAGTTTGTGGCTGATTATATATATATATATACACAAGCTTTGGATTCGCGAATTAGGGATTTGGATTTCCTGTGAAAGCATAAACTAATAAAGACACAAGATTCACTAACAAATATGTTAAGAAAAGAAACACTAATATGCAAAGAGGGATACGATAATATCTTCTATACTCTTTAACTATGGAAAAGGTATGTAGAAAAAAGTACGTTTTGTCTTATACATGAACCAAAGAATCTTTCAACTAATTTCCTTATATTTATAATAAATGTTACCTTATTAGTTTTTAACATTTGTGAGATCATATTTATTATTTTATACATACAGTAAAATATGAAATCGTTTCTCCATATTATTAGTGAAAATTTGATATTATTTTATACATATTAAGTTAGTAACTAACGGTCAACACTATCTCCATTTTTTTGTGTGTGTGCACCAACACTATGATCTCCATTTTTTTGTGTGTGTGCACCAACACTATCTCCATTTAAAACAGCTAATAACAGTGTAGTTATTTAATTATTTTTACTAAACGAATTGAATATAATGTTGACATGTTCGTCAACTCTATCTCACACCAAAATTCGACGATGTAAAAGTTTATTTTATAAAAATATTAGTGCCCACGCGATGCATGGTTTATATTTTAGTTGAATCTGATCATTGAATTTTTTAAAAGAATTATAATTTTATTTATTTGTTATTGATTGATATTTCTTACATTTTATCTTTAATTTTATTAAAAATTTTAAAATATCTATTTTCATATTTAGTATTATAAATTTCTCATTTATTATAGAGTATAACAGTGATATAGGTTGGGTGGAAATGATTCCATAATTAATAAACCGGTTATTTTGGTTATGTTTGGTAAAATATTAATATATTCATTTAAAAATAATAAAAGAAAAAAATGATGGTTCTCGTTTTTTCAATAATTCTTCTTCATGTTTTTTCCTTGAATTTAGTTCTTTTCTACTTCCTCCTAATTGTTTTTATATGATTGAGTAAATTTAATAATTTAATATGAAATTAACTAAAAAAACAAAATTATTTGTGGTTGAAACAAAAATTTAAATGAAAATCTCAAATTGCTAATACCTTGAAAAAAATAAAAGGACATTATTCGTCTTGATCCGTTTAAACAAGGAGTAATTTGGCGGGGAAAATAATAGTAATAATTAAAAAGGACATGTCACATGTGAAAGGACCAATCACATTACTAATCCGGCTAAACAAGAAGAAAGCATGCCGCGTCAATAAATTCGACTTATTTCGGTTTTTGGGTTCCGTACAACACACTTTACTCTTCTTCTGTCTTAAACTTTTAAACACTTTAAAGTTGTGTCACTCCCACTGTGCGATTGAAGAAGATAAACAAGAATCGCCACTTAAAATTCCTCTGTAAGAATCGTGAGGATCAAACAGTCCGTAGCAATCTCCTGTTTTGTAGTGATATCTTACCAATTTCGTAACTTTAGGTATCTTCTCTCTTTCTCTCGGGCATCATTGTTCACCAATTTCGTAACTTTAGGTATCTATCAACGATTCAAGCTTTACTTGTGATTTCTCCAGAATCATTTCACAGTTCTTTCTCTACTGGGTTTGGGTTCTTATACCCTAATTTGCTGATTTTGTAAGTGTTTTAGCACTTAGATTTTACTGTTAGAGTCATCAAGAATCTCCATTGTTTGATAATTGTCCTCTTGTCTCAACGTTTCTGCAATTTTCTCAATCTGGAAAAAACTTGCTTTGATTACATAATAGATTAGTTGTCACTTGATAATTCATAAGAGTATTTGTCTCCTCGTTGTGTCAATTTGGTTTAGCAAATCTGTCGTGGATTCCTTTGACATATCACTGTATATGTTACAGGTACTCAGAAAAGTCTTAAAAGATGGCGAGGCTGTCTTGGCAAGCCGTGGCGGTTGTGGGCGTGCTGCTGGTAGTAGTCCTGTCGTTTGCAGATGGGTACCCAGAAGCAGATTTTGTTGTGAAGCTGCCAGGGCAACCAATGGTAACGTTCAGACAATACGCCGGGTATGTTGATATCGACAAGGTTGTTGGGCGGAGTCTTTTTTACTACTTCGTGGAGGCTGAAAAACGTCCTGACACAAAACCGTTAACATTGTGGCTCAATGGAGGTTCGTTTTATGTTGCTCAATTAATACATGAAGGCATGAAGCGACTTCCCTATCTAATTGGAATTTGAGTATCAGAAATGTGTGAAATGAATTGCAGGTCCAGGTTGTTCTTCAGTTGGTGGAGGAGCTTTCACTGAGCTAGGTCCATTTTACCCCACAGGCGATGGCCGTGGTCTTCGCATTAATTCCATGTCGTGGAACAAAGGTCTATTTTTTTATAGTTTTATGCAGAGAATGAAAGACCACAAAACTGTGATCTTACATCTGATTTTATTGTATCTTGTTGTAAAATGTGTAGCATCGAACCTGCTATTTGTGGACTCACCGGCTGGAGTTGGATGGTCATACTCCAACCGAAGCTCTGATTACAACGCCGGGGACGAGTCTGCTGGTAAATTTTAACTCCCAAACTTTCAGAGGATTTGTATATTAGAAGATAGTTGTTTTTCTGACTTGTTTTGTATATGAACAGCCAGTGATATGCTTGTGTTCTTGTTGAGATGGTTCGATAAGTTCCCGGAGTTGAAGTCTCGCGACCTCTTTCTCACAGGCGAAAGCTATGCTGGTGTGTCTTTGATATCCTTGAAATCTATTAAATATTTACCTTGAAAACAGAACTATTCTTAGATGTATATATTCTCACAGGACATTACATACCTCAACTGGCTGATGCGATTCTCAGCTACAATTCACACTCGAGCGGGTTCAAATTCAACATCAAAGGCATTGCGGTAAGCAAAAGAACCTTATTCTTGACGTTCCATCAACTCTTTTGGTTCTCTTCTGAATTGTTTCTTCGTTCTTTTTTCTTTCTGGTCAGATTGGGAATCCACTTCTTAAGCTTGACAGGGACATTCCAGCTGTATACGAGTTCTTCTGGTCGCATGGCATGATCTCTGATATAGTGGGACGCACAATCAGGAGTCAATGTGACTTCTCACATTACACATATGCGTACCCACATAACGCAAGTGATGCTTGCAACGACGCTACCACTGAAGCGGGAATCGTCATCACTGAATATGTCAACAACTTTGATGTTCTCCTTGACATTTGCTACCCGTCCATTGTCCTACAAGAACTAAGGCTCAAGCAAATGGTTAGCCGTTTTCCATCTTATGTTCCACCGACAAAACTTTTGTTTGAATTTATCTTTAAACTTTTGAAATGGTTTCAGGCCACAAAGATGAGCATGGGAGTGGATGTCTGTATGACCTACGAAAGACAGTTCTACTTTAATCTCCCAGAGGTACAGATGGCGCTTCACGCGAACCGCACTCATCTGCCTTATGAATGGTCTTTGTGCAGCAAGTAAGTTCTTTTCCTGTCCTTTCAGTTTCTTAAAATGAAGATTCTTTATAACCAGAGTTGAACTCTATACTCTGATGGCTTTCACTATGTGTCACAGCCTGTTAAACTACTCTGGCATCGATATAAACACCAACATGCTTCCGACTCTGAAGAGAATTATACAGAACAAAATTCCGGTTTGGATCTTCAGGTAATACTTCTATTAAAAATCTCCTACTGCTCCTGTATTTGTACCTAACACACAGCTTGTTGACAATTGAAGTGGAGATCAAGATTCTGTAGTTCCATTTCTTGGAACAAGAACTGTCGTACAAGAACTCGCCGACGATCTCAATTTCAAGACGACAGTTCCATATGGAGTGTGGTTCCATAAAAGACAGGTAGTTTGCCTACACACCACAATTCTCAAACTGAGTGTGAATTAAATTATGGATGTTTGGGATTTTGACTAGGTTGGAGGCTGGGCCATCGAGTATGGAAACCTACTCACGTTTGCAACAGTGAGAGGAGCGGCTCATGTGGTGGCGTACAAGCAGCCCTCTCGAGCTCTGCATCTGTTCAGCGCCTTTGTGCGTGGACAAAGATTGCCTAACAAGACCGATATAGGTTTTCATGATTGAGGAAGAGAAGCAACCTCATTATGAGAGTATATATCCTTAGATGAGTAGAGATAAGAAAATATAAGGGTTTATGTTGTGCCCTGCTTGTGTCTAGGTGATGAGACATATTTCATACGATTATTAGTAACAAAACACGTCTGTTGATTATGATGATTGTTGATTATGATGATTGTTTAATGATCTAAACGATACATAATCTCCCCTCAGAATCGTTGACATAATACAAAAAAGGTACTGTCTTAAGATCCTTTGTGGGATTGGCCTACTTGTATCATAACCAAACCAAATATCCTTGTCCTAGACACCGACCTGAACAACATTCTTGTTCCGTCTCAACTTATGGACGGACCATAGGTGATAGGTGCAATGTTGAATCTTGAACCTTTGGGCAGTTTGTTTTTGCAGCTGAGAGCCCAGACTATCTCATTGACCAATTCGAATGCATATAGGCCTCATATTTAGGAATCTCGGAAGCATTTGGCTTTACGATGACAAATAACACATGAATGATGCAAATTTTTAACTGTTAAATATCATTAGACTGTCTAATGATACTTAACAACACTTGAGAAGGCACTTCTCAAAGTTCAGAGATTCTCTCTAATTGTGGTTCCATGGCTCTTCTTCTTGTTTGTAATCGGTAATTGTACCGGACTTGTTCACCCCGGTTTGTCGTTGTTGCAAGGCTCCTTTGATCTTTGTAACAATTGTTTCCAAGTAACTAGATTAGGAACCGTGTGATACACCGATAAATTGAAAAATCTTTTCAAAAAGTTTAGTATGTTGTCATGAAAATATTATTTTGAATTTCAATTGAACTAACTATGAATCATATTATGTTTTTATTTGAACCGCAAAATATCTATTTTTCATTCACTTATAATATAATTATTTTTAT